TGGCGCGGCTGACTAAGCTTGCGCGCACGCCAAAAAAATGGAGGCCAGGCCACGCCGCCAGGCTGCGTGCGTGTGTGCTCACGCAGGCAGGCAGCCTGCCTGACTGCCTGCCCGCCAGCTGACCGCCCGCCTGCCAGCTGAGCCTTGCCCGCCAGCGTGGCCTTGCCTGCCTGCGTGCCTTGGTATATAGTCTTGCCCGCTCCACCGTCGCTCCTTCCCTCCCGACCACTACCATCGGCCCTTTGCCTGCCATCGACCCTCGCCCGCCATCGGACCTTCGCCCGCCGCCGCCACCAGGCTGCTGTCCACGCCACCAACCTGCATCAATGTCGCCAACATCACGCTCGCGCTCTGCACCGATGCCACCACCTTTGTCGGCCGATGTCACCACCATTGTCGGCTTGCCGCCACCGCCACCGCCAACGCCGACTTGCCGCCACCATCAATGCTGATCCGCCGCCACCATCGACGCCAACTTGCTCGCACCTTGCACACGACGCCGGTGACAAGCAGCACACTCCGCCTCCACACCCGCCGTCAAGCCATCAGGACATTGTCAGGTGAGTCAAATACGCCGCATATGCCGCACTGATTGCTGATGCGCTCCTCTTCAACCGCTGCTGCGACTGCCACCCATCGCCACCCTGCAGCCGTTGCGCCCTGGGACATCCATCCCCGTCCTGCATGATCTTGGTGAGTTGACGACGCCACCCTATTGCTGGCAATACCTGCGCCTACTGCTGACCCCTTTTCTTCCGTTTGCCTCTTTCCACCTCCTTTCTGCCGCCTGCCCCATCTGCATGCTGTTGTACGCTTCCTCACTGCACAGGCGCAATCGTATCGTTGCTTCTAGTATTGTAGATAGCAATTAATTGATCGTAGCTTCCATTCTGACCGCTGTCTGGCTACAATGTGAATAGCGTAGGTAGACCGGCCTAGCTACGATCTGAAAATTGTGGCCTGTGTACGATCTACAAATCCACACGGTCTGTCCGGATCCATGAATAGTTTGTGTAGAAGGATCCCCTACGATCCAAAAATTGTAGACAGGCTACACTTACCTACGATCTGCCAGATCATAGGTTGGTCCTGCTGCTAGCTATGAATCTGGAAATTGTATATTGGCTACACCTACCTACGATCTGAAAAATCGTAGGTAGGCCCTGCTGCTAGCTATGATTTTAGACTGGCTATGCCTACCTACAATTTGAAAAATTGTATATTATGGCCAATTTTTCATGGACACATACGGCATTCTTGGCCGTAGGGCTGCCTCTGGCCCCAAACTGTAGAGGGCCTATCATAGCTAGCAGCAGAGTCAACCTACAATTTTTCAGATCATAGGTAAATGCACCCTATCTACGATTTTAAGATCGTAGGAAATCTTTCTATGCAAACAATTTGTGCCAGATAAGCATAGCTAGCGTCAAAGGACAGGTGGTTTTTGGCCGTACGCCAGCCTACGGCCTGAAATCGGGAGATCGGGGGACATCTACGCTAGAATTGACCGTAGGCAGCCCTACGGCCAAAATCGGCGATCTCCTACGATAATTTTGGGCCGTAGGGCTGCCTGCGGCCGTTTTTTGAGGGGCATCTGCGGCAATTTTGGCCCTAGGGCCACCCACGGCCATTTTCTGAGGGGCAGCCACGGCATTCCCAGCCGTAGGGTCTTGCACGGCCTGGGCCAACCACCCTACCCTGCGCAGAAAATGGCCCTTCCTCCTTACGTCAGCTCAGGAGGCCCTGCGCGCGCGCTGGCCCTTTTGCCACCGGCCCTTTGCAAAATCCATCCACCACCCACCCGTCTCTCCTGCCCTCCTACCACCACCACCCGACAGCAGCCGCCACCACTCGCCAGCCACCCACCCGCCAGCCAGCCGCCAGCCGCCAGCTGCCACCCAAGCCAGCCAGCCAGCCAACCGCCATCCGAGCCGGCCAGCCGCCAGCCAAGCGCAGCCGCCAGCCAAGCACAGCCGCCAGTGAGTCTGCTGCCAGCCCAGCTGCCTTGCCACTGATTCCGCTCCGCTGCTACTTCCGCTCCGCTGCCATCAATCGTCGGAGACGTCAGAGGAGGCCTCTCCAAAGTCTCCGTCGATTTTGACCATTGACAGCCTTCTTTCCGCCTTCCGCTTGACAGCCCGGTTGTGACAAGTGAGTTGCCACCACCGCTCCTTGTCTGCCGCTCCCTTGCACGCCGTTGCTGACTCCTTCGCTCCTGTCTCCCTTTTGCCTGCTCCTCCCTCACCGCCTTACTTGGCTGCTGACAATGCTCTGCCGCTGTTGCCTGCTGCCGCGCTGCCGCTCTGCCGCTCTGCCGCCGCCCTGCTGCCTGCTGCCGCCTACCTTCCTGCCTGCTCGCCCTGCCACTCACCAATGCTGTCGCCACGCTGCCACATATTAGTATTCAGATTTTGCAATACAATGCCCGTAGATACATGTGGCTGTGGGTTCGGGGGTAGACCTACGGTTAGCAGGCCGTAGGATGCCTACGGCCAAAAGTGCCGTAGGTCCTCCTACGGCACCCGGTGTCGTAGGGGATAAACGATCTCCTACAGCACTGCCATATCGTACGAGACATACAATTTCCAAAATTGTAGGCCAAAAGCCTGCCTCTAGCTATGAAGGCGTGCGGATTTTCAGGCCGTATACTACCTACAAATTTTCAGATTGTAGCTAGACTAGCCTACCTACGGTCTGAAAATTCATAGCTAGCAGCAAAAGTAATTCCCGATTTTTCTTATCGCACAGGCTGTGCGATCCAGGATTTGAGAGTCGTTATACAAGTGCGATCTAAAATCCTGGCCACTATGAGTGGATTTCAGATCGCAGGCAGAAAAAATTCAGGATCTCAGATTGCAGCTGATCGCATGCCTGCTGCGATCTGAGAAATTGCACAAGCTGGCTGCAGCTGGATTTTCAAATCGTTATACAAGTGCGATTTTTTTTGACCAGATCCTGCTGCTAGCTATGCCTCCGATCCCCCGATTTCTGGCCGTAGGTCAGCCTACGGGCAAAAACCACCTGCGCAGCTGAGACTCGTGATTTCGGAAATCGGAAGTCACCTACGCCAGGGCCCGTGCGTGAACCTGCTGTCCACGCCATTGGAGGGGGCGGCGAGCTGCGGATTCTGGGCCGTAGGAGTCCTACGTCAGCCCACTGGAGGGCCACTATGCACAGACAAACGTATGAAATCTACGCGCATACAGTCTAGGATAGGCCCAAGTATCACAGAGGTCACGGTCCAGCGATGGCGGCAGCAGGAGCACGCAAGCCCACCTAGGAACGGCGAGAAAAGCCGAAGCAAGGCGGGCAGGCGAGGCGGAGGTCAGAAGCACGACGAGCGATTGGCAGCGATGTCGCTTGCACACAGTCTTGTACTGGGCAGAAGACCAGTGTCGGGAAGAGACGATTCGGGCAGCAATAGCGCCGAGGCAGGTCGAGCGTTTGGTCTATGTACGACTGCACGCGATGCAGCCGGCGGTGGGGTAGCATGGTTGATGAGCGCCATGTTCGGTGATGATTCTGTTGTCGCCGTCTTGGTCGTTTTCAAGATGATTGGGAGGCGGCGGAGCTTGGTCGGAGAGGTGAGCAGCTGCGTAGGGCATGGCGATTTTCCTGGCCTGGTGCTGGGTGGTGGTGATGGTGGTGCGTGGGGAAGCCGAGGTGTACGGACGGCGATGCGCGATGCAGGAGGCCTTCGCTCGCAGGAAGTCGAGGGCAGGGGCAGGCGGGGCAGGTTGGAGCCGCGGGTGATGGGCCGGGCCAAGCCTTGACCGAGTGCGCCCTCTTTCGGCCAGGCATGAGGCCAGGCCAGGCCAGGCCGTGCAGTCACCACGTCTGGCCAGCACGGGCCCGAACGTGCTCCACACACACACACGCAGACGCCTTTTTCACGCAAGCTCCTGACGTCGACTTGACCGACCCATCCACTCCACAGTCTTGCTTGTTCCCCCCCACCACCCGCACCACCGCAGCCCAGATTCCCCGCGCGAATCCTTTGCACAACGCACCATGTCCAGCCAGGCACCCGCCACAGCGACGACGGTTGAGGAGTACACCTCGGCCAAGTCGCTCGTCAACCTGCGCAAGCAGCTCAAGTACATCGTCATTGGCTCCGTCCTCACCTGGTACTTCCAGGTGCCTGCCCACCTCACCGACGCCTTGTCGCTTGGCATCCGTACGAATTGGGAGGCGCGCATCGCTGTCATTGCTCTGTCTCTGCTGGCGGCGACGCTCCTCATCTTTGCCCATGTCATCTTGCTCCCGGCACGCGGCCATGCTCCCGACTACCTCCGATGGAAAGAGGATGTCCACCTCCGCTCTGCCATCCCTGCCCTGACGCTCTGCATCATCGCCGGATTCCTCTCGCTCCTCCTCACCCTCTCGCCCCTCGGTGCACCAGCCCCTCCGGGCAGCTCGCTGAGCACCCGACTCACCCAGGCAGCCACGACTGCCGGGTCCAACCTCAACTCAGCCTCCCGGGGCGTCCAGCAGCTCGCCTCCGAGGCCGTAAAGTCGCTCGGCCTCACATCCGCATCAAACCCTTCTGGAAGCCCCAAGTTGCTCGACTCGCTCTTCTCTCGCAGCCCCTCGTCGGCGTCGTCCCAGTCGCTTCTCGACACGCTGCACCTCGACTCGCTCGAGTCGCTCGCCAATAGGCTCGGCGTCAGCGCCGGCCGGGCCGATGAGCTCTCAAAGGCCTTCGCTCAGCTCAGCAGCAGGGCAGAGGACTGGGCCCAAGGCAACGTTCGAGCCATTGGCTGGACCGGCGCTCTATTGGCCAGCACCGGCGTGTACCTGCTCCTCTTTGGAGGCGTCGGCCTACTGGGCTTCCTGGCCCCGGATCGAGCCGCCTTGGCGGCCGGAAGCAAGAAGAAGCAGTTCTGAGCCACGATGTCCCGTCCACGAACCGTCGAGGTGCCGGGCCGACGTCGCACCGCAACCGCTATGCCTAGTGTCGCCTGAGCCTAGTGGCGATAAGCGGGGCCCAAAATGAAGGGACTGATTCCGCGCGGTGAGACCGAAAACTGGGGGATAAAGCGCATCTTCGACACAGATCCAAGTAGCGCAATAGCTCTGGAAGCCTCGTCCTCATCCTCGTCCTCGGCTCCCGGCCCAGCGCCCCTCCCAATGCTGCGCATCCCTGCCTCGGGTGCACTTGTCGACCTTCTCGGCCTACTCGCACGTGGCGACCGGAGCAAGCAGGGCGCCACGAGGTGGATCAGTCGTCGCGTTCATAGACGCTCCTCTTCGGCCTGGCAAGTGCGGCCAGATGTTCCTGCGCGGCAGAGGGACCGTGTCATCCGGGACAGATCAGCATGGGCCGCGCAACGACTCCGGAAGCATGTAGCTTGCTCACCCGGATCCATTCTTCCCTCTTGTGCGGAAGGTGCCTCCACATTCTGTACCTTTGATCGTTCTATCGACGCACATCGAGGACGCGAAAAGCATTACTTTTCTGGTCAGCCTTGGCGACATGACGACGCCTGACCGGCGGGCGTGAGAGTGGCACCTCTGGCTACTCACCCGCAGGACTGCCTCAATTTCGTTCAGATCCACCTTTCTCGCCATGTCGATCAGGGTCGCTTCTTCTTCCTCGCCTTCGTCATTGATGTCGTCGCCGCGACCATGTCCGACGTTGTCGTCAGTGGACTTTGCCAGAGCCTCTTTACGCATGCGTCCCCAGAACTCCACGAAGGCGGACTCTGCATACCGATGGGGGGGAGACAAAGAAGAGGACATGGTCAGAACCGGCCTCTGCAGGGGACGTCAAAGAAGCCAAAAGGTCGTCGCACCTTTGAGCATGTCAAAGAAATCTTGGCGGGCCGTCGCCTCGCGATCCTTGATCCACTTGCCGTACTCGTCGGCTAGGGCAGCCTCATCGCCGAGAAAGGTGCTCAGAGATGCACCGCCCATGCGTACGTCCTCCTTGACCCTCGCCAGCACGTCGTCCCGTTCGGCGTCCAGTTCCGGGGCATGCGTCTTGAAGACATCCCTCAGGGCGGCGCGGCGCTTCCGTCGGAGCCGCTGAAGGTGCTCTTGGTACAAGCCATCCTTGTCGCGGCGCGACAGGCCGGGAGCCTCGAATCGTGGATCGCCGGAAAGCTTTCCCTGGATAGATGGGGAAGACAGAGGCTCATCGGTCGCATCTCGGATCGCATCGAGGAGGAGCTGCTGGAACTGCAGGTGGCTGTCGCCCCGAGTGGCAGCACCGTACGCGGCCCGGTTGCGAGCCTCGACGGCAGCCCTTTCCCTCCTGACCTTGTTCTCCCTCTCACGGAGAGCCTGTCGCGTGCTTTCTTGCTTTGACTGCTGCTTGTCTTGTACTTTCAACGATCCTCTAGCCTCGTCATGCGGCTCGCCGGCAGCGCGGCGACGGCCTTTGAGCCATTCGGCGAACAGTTCAGCACGGCGCGTGGAACTCCCGACGGCATCGTAGCGGGAGTCGGTGTCCAGGTCTGGTGTCCTCTTGGCATCGCGCCAGAGAGCCGCGACGGCCTCCGTTTCGTTGCCATTGTTGCTTCGGACGGCCGTCTTTAGGTCGGCGGCGAGAGAGGTGGATAGCTTTGAGGAAAGAAGGTCGAGAAAGTCGGCTTCGGCGGCGAGTGCGGCTTTGCGCTTGCCTGCAAAACGTCCGAAGCAGCGACACTCGTCAGCATGCGTTCGATGCCTACGGCCTGATCCCTGCCCGATCCTACCTGGTTGTACTCACGTTCGCCTAACTCCTGCAGCCAGGATTTGAAGGCCCTCTCCCTCTCTCGATCATCCCGACCAAACTCGAAGAACCTTCGATCCTTCCTCCAGGCCTTGCGAAAGTCGTCGAACCTCGTCCGGGTCGACTTGACCTCCGATTCGAGCAGCTGACGATACTGTTCGAGCGCGTGAGATCCGAGAGAGCTTTCCGAGGCGCGCCCGTCTGACATAGCCTCGGGTGTTGCTGCGGCGTTGGAAGAGGCTGCTTTATTGCCGGCCACCTTGACCGCACGTTTCTCGCGGATCCTTAGCTTGCACCACTCGTTGAAGGCGTCCTGACGATCCCTGAGCTGTGGCAAGATAGAATAGGCCGGCTGATGCACAAACTTTGGAAGTTCCTTGTCCCACGGCGCCATCGGATTGACCTCGTTGGGAGTGTCATTGAGCGAAGTGAGCATGCGCATGAAAAGCGCCTTGGCCTCGTCTTGTGAGAGCTCGATTGACGGTGGTGGGATAAAGGGGCCGTGGTTGGGCCGCTGCGACGGCGCTGAAGATGCCGAGTCCGCCCCAGAGCCCTGAGCTGTCGCGCTGTCCGGGCCGGCTGCCGGAGGCTCGGCGGGAGGCGAAGCCTGCGGCGGCGGATGTGGGTCCTCGAGCAGCTCAGCCTCGGCGGCCATCTCGGCGGCCATGGCCCTTTGCCATGCTTCGTCGCCCTCGTCATCCGCGTCACCTTCGCTCTGTCCGTCCAGAGACTCGGCGACGTCCACCTCGCTTGCAGAGTCGACACGAGCGCGTTTGGCACCGGCGGGAGCTTCAAAGGTGGTCAGAGGCACGCCCTCTTCTGCTTTACGCTTAGCATCTGTGCCTGATGCTGAACCACCGACCGACTGGGTATCCATCTGCGTGGGGCTACGAGCCTCCGGAGCAGGTGGATCAGCGGCCGCAGGTGCGTCGGTTTCTGCCCGCTGCATTGCGGCCACCTGCTCCTTGATTTCGTCCGGCACGGTCCATAGCGAGCGTCTAGACTCGGTGTGAAAGTAGAAGACGTTGTCGAGGTTGGTGATCACGCGCAGCCAGCCTTCAGCACCGGGTATGGGATCCTTGCGTCGAGGTTTCTCCTTGCGAGGCTTGGGAAGCTGGCCGTCCTGGCGTATTGCAGGGGCCTCGCGGAGAGGGACGGCCTGTGCAAGGGCCGGGTGGGTGTATGTAGAGGTACCAGACTGGGCATGGTAGAAGTAGGCATGGCCCGTGGGAGCGGTGTGCTGCGTCCACCCCGGGGGCAATGGGGGCGGATTCTGCGACATGCCGAAGCGGGAGTGGCAGAAGGGTCTTGGCGTAGCCAGGAGACGGACGTGATGTCGGTGTGTTTTGCGCTCCGCTGCGAGTGGCGATCAACGAGGATAGCACTGTGATGGGCCTTTGAGAGCAAAAATCGACCAGAAATCGAGAGGCAGGGAGGAGAACAAGAGGTTGGTGGTGGTGGGCAGTGGGGACGGGGTCTGTGGTCGCAGCTGGAATCCACCAGGAAGGCATCCGGAGTCTTGTCATCGTTTCCCGGCATTCGGGAATCGTGCCAGCGCGGGTGGCGCCTCGTTGTGGAGGCAAATCAGCCTGGCTGCCGGCCGGCTCGTCGGACTCGCCTTTCTGCGCTCCGCTTCCTCTCTCTCTCTCTCTCTCTCTCTCTCTCACTCTCTCTCTCTCCGCGCACCCTTCTCTCCCTTTCCCCTCTGACAGGCTCATCTCCTCACACTCGACTTTGCGCAGCTTTTGTCATCCTTCTCTCCGCCGTACAAATCGCCACAGCTGCCCCTCTCCTCAACACAGGCTCAACCAGTCGCCCACTGCTTCCGCCATTTGCCCGCGGCACCCTGCGACTTGCTGCCTCACGGACGCTCACATCGAGGCAGTAGGAGCTTTGACAGACCTATGATGAATTCTCACGCCCGCCCACAGAGAACACCGCGCGACAGGGTCGTTGGCCCCAGCCTGCCTCCCGGCTTCCACAGGCACGCTTCTGACAGCCGGTACAACAGCGGCTCGGACACCGAAGACGACCAAGACGAAGAAGCCCATATTGGTCCGGCGCCCCCGCCTGATTCGCAATACACGGACGAGGATCATCTCAGCGCCGCCGCACGCGACTTTATCGAGCGCGAGCAGAGGCGCAATCGTGCCGCCGAGGTAAGTCAGTCAGTCGAGATTGCAACACACCTCGCCTTCCTGATCGATGTGGACCTGGGCGGCCCTTTTTGACTCCTCCTGCAAACCGCCGATTTCATTCGACAACCATCAGGAGGTCAAGCTGGCTCGGGAAAAGGCGGCTACCTCCCGGCCTGACTGGATGCTCGTCGCACCCACAGCCACATCATCGCTGTCCGCAATCGCCGCCGACCCAACCCGGCTCAAGTCACGCGGATTCGCTCAAAGTGCACCTCGCGTGCAAAAGACAAGGGGCCAGTACGCCGCGGATGGGGCTTCGGACGCCACCTTGTGGAACGAGACGCCCGAGCAACGCGTACAAAGACTTCAGGATGAGGTCAGCGGCAAACGAGCCCGTGCGGGCGCCGCCCCAACCGACGAGAACGAGGAGCTACAGCGGCTCATCCAGCAGCGGCGAGATGCCACGATTCAGGCCCAATTGGACCGGGACTCGAGTCGATCCGCTTCCCTGCTTGATTTGCACAAGCAACAGAGGAGGCGCGAGCTCAAGGACAAGGAGACGGACGGTGAGGCTCGAAGACGTTCGCCAGGAGATGCTAAGGGGTCTGGCGAGGAAGGTGGCAAGGATAGTCGGAGGAAGCACAGGTCGAGCCGCCGTCGATCGCGGTCGCGCTCGCCCCCGTCTCGCAGAAAGCGCGAGAAGGAACGCGACTCTTCTCGCGAACGAGCTCGGCCGTCGTCGTCCCGGGATCGGAAAGACGGCTACGAGCGTGACGAGCGCCATCGAGAGCGTCGCGAGCGTCGCTCGGACCGATACGAGCTGAGTGATCGCCGCTTTAGGGACGATGCAGAAGACAGCAACGATGAATCGGAGAAGCGACGGCGGCGTCGCGGCAAGGAAAAGGAAAAGGAACGAACGCGCGATCGGCGCGACAAGGATAGAGAAGGGCGCACCTCGTCGGATCGGAAGAAGGCGTCAGGTACGACGGCGCCCGTCATGTGGGACAGGGACGCGGCGCTCAGCGTAGGCGGCAAACTGATGGACGAAAAGAGTCGAGGACGGCTGGTACAGGACGCTGCTGCCTTGGGAAGCCGGTTCGGAAGCGGGTCGAGTCGGTTTCTGTGAGAGAACGAAGGGCAATCAATGGCAAGGCCGTGCAGAACACGGTCGGTTCGCCCATGTGAAACGAGGGACAGGCAGTAGTGAGGGTCAGTCACGAGGTTGTGGTGCGCTGACCCCGCGAAGGAGACGCGCGGATATCATGTCCAGCAGAAGAGTCCTCTGGCCAGGCAGGCCAGCAGCACAGGAGTGGCCACTCCTGTGCTGGCCTGCCTGCCAGGCCACTGAACGCGTTGCGCCCGCGCGCGCCTCTTCTTCTCCAGGGTCCAGGCGCAAAGAAAGCTGGCGCCCGGGCAGAGGCAGCCAGACGCACAAGCAGGCTGGCAGGCCAGACGAGGCCCGGCCAGGCCAGGCCAGGCCTGCCGGACTGAGGGCTCAGCTCGCTCGTCGTGGTGCGTGCATGCACCTTCTTGCTTCTTTCAGCGCAGCATCGCCTTGCCTGGTCTGGCCTACGTCTTCCCCTTTCCCTCGCTCACCTCTTCCACCATCTCGTGCGTGGCTCCTCCTGAATCGACCCTCTCCGTTCAGCTTGTCCACTCCGTCTTCATAACCGAGCCGCTCGCCGCCACGGCTCAGCAGTGCCCTTCTTCAGAGTCACATCCTGTCTGCTAGCGCACCTCCGCCACGCCAACCACCCTTCCTCCCTGCATTCCCCCTTCTTTCCCTATGGTCACCCAGCGGCCGAAGCTGCTACACGCCTAAGAGCGATCGCGGCTCGAACACTTCCCGTTCCTTTTGACTCAGCTGCTCCCATCAAACTCGGCTCATCACACCTCCGAGCTTGACCTGCAACCCCACTACCCGCCCGAAGCTCGATCGACCAGGAGCTGCTCCCTCGACTCTTTCGGGCATGCTCAGCCCGCCGGCTGCCGGTGCAAACACATCCAACATGACGCAGCCGCTTCCATCGACCTCTCTCCGGGCCACCCAACCTTCAAACTCTCTCTCCAGCACAAGCGCCGCCCTCTCGTCTCCGACGCAGCTTTCCATGAAGGCCGAGCACCTCTCACAGGCATCGGCCGTCCCTGGACAAAAGAGTGGCCGTAAGCGACCTCGCGACTCATCGCTCCCCTCTTCGCGCCGCAACGCTGCTGCAGAAGCTGCCGTGGACGACGAAGACGATGATGCTGCAGACGACGACGACGACGAGCAGGCCACGCGAACGCGCCCGAGGCATCACGTCGAGGTGTCCGAGGCAGATCAGCAGAGCCCACCACCCAGCCCCTCTGGTAATGCGCAGCCCGGCTCTCGCATCGTCCCGCTCGCTCAGAGGTCCGCCGACGGCTACCTGCCCGGCTCGATCCGCAGGGTGGCGCTGTACCAGTTTGTCACGTTCGACTTTGTCGAGTTCCGACCCGGTCCACACCTCAACATGATCATCGGCCCAAACGGGACGGGCAAGAGCACCATCTCCTCCGGCATCGCCTTGGGCCTCGGATGGTCCACCTCGGTCCTGTCCCGCCAAAAGGACCTGGCAGACTTTGTCAAGAGCGATTGCCAGGAGGGTTGGATCGAGCTCGAGCTGCAGGGACTGCCCGGCCAGGCCAACATCGTCATCCGCCGCACGCTCGTCAAGACCGACAACACCAGCGATTGGTTCCTCAACGGTCGCAAGTCGTCGAAGCGAGAGGTCACGGAGCGTGTCGGCGAGTTCGAGATCGACATCTCCAACCTGTGTTCCTTCCTTCCGCAGGACAAGGTGGCCGCCTTTGCACGTATGAGCTCGCAAGAGGTCCTCGTCGAGACAGAGAAGACAGCCGGCGACGCTAACCTCTTCAGGTGGCACACCAAGCTCGAGGAGCTCGGCAAGGTCCTTGCGGCGAGGGAGGCCGCGCTCGAGCAAGACCTCAAGCAGCGCGACAACCTCAAGGAACGCAACGAGGCGCTCGAGAGGGACGTGCGCCGATTCGAAGAGAGGGAAAAGATGGAGATGACCATCTTCCAGCTCAAGTGCAAGATCCTGCAGGTCAGGCACGACGCGGCGCGCGCCGAACTCGAGGCGCTCAAAGAAGCAAAGTCCGAGGTCAAGGCGCGCCTGAGGGCGGCAGAAGAGGCCGGCGCGCCGATGAAGGCGCAAAAGGACGAGCTCAAGGCCGAGATCAGGCAGGCGGACGGCTGGATCCGAGGGCAGCGCGAGGCCATGCACGGCGAAGAAAAGTCCATCACCCAGCTGGGCAGGGAGATCGACCGCCGCATCGGCGAGCTCGATGCTCTCCACGGTGAGATGCAAAGCCTGAAGACCCTGGAAGAGCAACGCAAGAAGAACATCAGAGACCTCAAGGCGGAAATCGCAGAGCGAGAGGAGTCGATCCGTGCAGGGCCGCCCGAGGTCGACCTCTCCGAGATCAAGAAGCAGCTGAGGTCGATCGATCAAGAAGACCGACAGGCGCAGGACGAGCTCTACAGGGTCGCAGCTCTCAAGAACCACATCTTGATGGAGAGCAACAACTTGGCACGTTCACGCGACGAGCTCAAGGCGAGGCTCGAATCCCTCGCAGACGTCAAGGCCCAGCGGCTCGAGACACTGCGACGAGCCGATCCCGCAGCCCATACGGCCGTCATGTGGTTGCGCGAAAACCAGGCCATGTTTCAGCAGCCGGTCTACGAGCCCGTCCTCCTCGAGATCAACGTCAAGGATCCGGCGTACGCCAACGCGGTCGAATCGTGCCTCAACTGGCCCCTGATGAAGACGTTCGTCTGCCAGACACGCGCCGACTACGACCTCTTCACCCGAGAGGTGATCGACAAGCGAAGGATGCGGGTCACGGTGGCCGAAGTCGAAAACATGGAACTCTCGAAATTCCGACCGCCAGCGAGCCCCGACCAGCTCTGTGCCCTCGGCCTCGACAAGTACGTGCTCGAGCTCATCGATGGACCCAGGGATGTCCTCACCCACCTCTGCAACACGGCGCATCTGCACACCATCCCGGTCGCCCGGGACGAGTCCAGGGTCGACATCGAGCGCGTGGAGGGCTCGCGCCTCTTCCGACGCTTCGTCATCGGCAGCACGACTTTCACCGTCACGTACTCGGCCTACGGCAACAAGGCGGCACAGACGGCATCGCGCTTCGTGACGCCAGCGCGCAACCTCGCGGGATCCATCAACGACAGGCTGAAGAATCAGCTCGACGGCCAGATTCGCACCATCCAGCAGAAAATCGCCGAGCAGGAGGCACAAATGGCTCCGTTGATCCAGAGCGAAGCCTCACTCAGAGCGGAAAGGGACGACCTTGCTCAACGCAAGGCAGAGCTCCAGAGCGAGAAGCGCGACAAGGAGAGCGTCAGAAGCAACTGGGAGAAGGTCAAGGTTGTAATTGGTGAGTCGCGTGAGGCCGTCATGGACCCTGCTGCGGTGCTCGATCCCCGCAGCTGACCCACAGACGCTGGTGGCGGCTGTGTGCATGCAACAGAGCAAAAGAAGAAGCGGCTTGCAAACGAAGAGCAGGCGCCGAGCGTCGAGGCCAAACGCCTCAGTTGCCTTCAAAGGAGAAAGAAGCTCGTCCACCTGCGCGCTCAGGTGGCACAGAAGCTGAAGGCCGCCGCGCTGCGGATGATCAAGCTGCAGGCGGGGCTGGACGTCCGGAGCCTCGAGAAACTGCAACTGGCGGCCAACCTGCGTCATGTCGAAAGCCTCGTCGAAGACCACCGCACCGCTCTCGGCGAGCTCGTCAGCGAAAAGGAGGAGGGTGAGTTTTCCAGGACGCCTGCGATCGACACGAGCGATTCAGCAGACTGAGGAAGCTACGGTCCATTTCGGCCGCACTGCACAGCCTCGCGAAGGCTGCAGATCGCCGTGACGCACTATAAGCGCATCGCCGAAGAGTCACACGCGCTTGCGAACAACGACCAAGGATTCGTGCCGGAACTGGATGACGAGGTGAGTGCTTCGTCGGCGTCCGAGCACCCATGGCGCCACCTCCTCTCACTAACGGCCCATGCCATGTGCGATGTTGCTCGTGCCGGTTTCCAGATCGAAGACAGTCTCGAAGATCTGCAAGCCAATCTGTCGCGACAGCAGGCGGCCTACGAGAACGCTCAAGGCATCCGCCCGGGCGTCAAGGAGCAGTTCGACGAGCGCAAGAAGGAGATTGCCGCGCTCGACAACAAGATTGCAAAGGCAGAGAGCGACAAGGCTGCGCTTCAGCGCAGGCTCGAGTTGACAAAGGTGTGTCTCTGCCGTCCCTCGCGTGACCGGCTTTCACCCGCTAAAGGTCACCGGCGGCTTCCTCAACCCCGCCGTTTCTTTGTTGCAGTCGAAGTGGCAGCCGGCGCTGGCTGAGCTTGTGTCGCGGATCAGCGAGAAGTTCTCGGCGGCTTTCGACAGTGAGTCTCAGGCGTGTGCAGGGCGTCGGGTGTCGCCTCTTCTTGCTGACAAGCGGTCTCGCAACTCGCTGCTCTTCCAATCACACCACAGGCATCGGCTGCGCAGGTGAAGTGCGCATCAAGGAGGCCGAAAAGTTCGAGGACTGGGGTATCGAGATCCTCGTCAAGTTCCGGGACGAGGCCTCACTGCAAGTGCTCACCGGTCAGCAGCAATCCGGCGGCGTGAGTTGGCTTCTTTCTGCACAGGCAGCTCCGGCAACTGCCTCGAGTGTGATTGTGTCCTCAGCTAACGCGTCGATCCGCCCTGGTTGTAAATGCCTCGGCGGCAGGAGCGTTCGCTGTCCACCATCATGTACCTCATGTCGCTCACGGAGCTGTCAAGGAGCCCCTTCTCGCTCGTCGACGAGATCAACCAGGTGCGTCGACGCAGAACGACCTCCACCCAACACTTTTACCCTGCCGAACGCGCTGCCTGACCCCATCTTTCCCGCCCCTAATGTGTTTGCCACGGCGAAGGGGATGGACCAACGGGCCGAGAGGAGCGTGCACAACCACATGGTCGACGTCACATGCAAGGATTCGGCCTCGCAGTACTTCCTCATCACGCCAAAGCTGCTCACCGACCTTCGCTACCACGAGAAGATGAAGATTCTCGTCGTCAACAACGGGGACTGGGCGTCCAAGCCAATAGGGCGTGAGTCCAAGGCAGCAGCGGGTTTCACGTCGTTCTCATCCAGGCGACGGTCCAGCACCCACTCAGGAGGCGCGGCGAGGGCTGACTTGCACTTGCACCTCGTTTGGGCCCTTGACCCATCCGGCCATCAGTTCGCAAGTATGCCACCAAGGCGCTCAGGACCAACGGCAATCAGTGAACGCATCAGACATGGGCAGCAGGGCCATCTGCCGCCTGCCTGACCTGACCCTTGCGGTCCTCAGCTCGGCGGCACGGCCGAATCATCCTTCCTCGAAAGCTCCTTGGCGCGAACCGAGCGCAGTCCATTGACGCAACGGCCACCGAGTTGAGCCCCCAGCCTCGTTCAATCACGCTGCTGCACGACCCCGAACGAGAGGCACATCTGTCGCATCGCCGACCCTTGCAATCTCATAGCCAGAGATTGTCGCCGCATGCAAGCGTGGCAGTGCGAGCGTCTGTGTCTCGACGGCAAGTTCGCCTCCGACTCTGCTGTCCTTGTTTCGCATCCGCGCGGCTGGATCTGTGGCGGATGGAGGCCACGCAATCGGCCGGCCCACGGCGACAGGTTTCGTCTGCATCCGATAAAAGATGCGCAAATTCGTGTCACGTTTGCCTGGCTTGCTACAACTACGAAGGACTCCGCTGCCAAGCTCGAGGTGGTATCATAGGGCACTCGGCTGCTTCTGTAGACGCGGACGTTTTCTCGATTCCTCCGTCCGGCTCCTGCTCTCCCGGTTCGCTCAAGCGCCTTGCGGCCACGAGCCTGTCCAAGACGCACGTCGACTGGTGAGCCCGCTGCTCCAGTGTCCTACGGCTGGCTGACCTCTTGGGGATCCTGACCATGCTTCTCGACGTACTCTGCAGCAGTGCGGGAGACGGGCGCGGGTGGTAATGAGTCGCATCAGCTAAAGCAGCAAGGCTTTTCGAAAGGAGCTAACCAAGCAAGCGTCGGGTGCAGGCCACTCACCCGTGAACTGCGTGCGAGTCTGCTGGAACGCCTTTCCGCGGTCCTCGAGGCGTCCGCTGCGGATGAGCTCGTCGATGTGCGCCCTCGGCTCTGCTCCACGTGCCTTGGCCTGTTCAGCCTCGTGGGCGACCAGCTCGAGCGCGCGGCAGGCGACCGTGAAGCGGTCAATGTGATTGAGACGGAGCATGCTCCAGGGCGTGGTGGTGGTGCCTTCCTCGACGTAGCCGAGGTACGCGGTCGGGCGACGACCGGTCAGGGATGAGAGGCGGTCCGAGAGGAGGCCCTTTATGGCCGAGGTGTAGCCGTGAAACGAGATCACCAGTGGTCGGTCCTTGGTGAAGAGTCTTTCGAAGTCGTCATCGGTGAGGGCATGAGGGTGGATCGAGGCCTCCGCGAGGATCATGAGGTCGGTCACGTTGACGACACGCACGCGCAGCGCAGACTTGGGGTCTTCGCGGAGCAGCCGAGACGCGGCGATCACCTCGGCCGTCGGCTCGGTACCGATGCCGACGAGGACGATGTCGGGATCCTCTCCGGCGTCGGTCGAATAGGCCGGCCAGACGGACGCGCCCGCCTTGCAGTGGGCATTGGCTTCGTCGGCGGACAGGTAGACGGGCGTCTCGTGCTTTGAGCCAACGATGAGGTTGACGTACTCGCGGCTGTTGAGGCAGTGGCTCAGCGTCGACAGGGCACAATTGGCGTCGGGCGGAAGATAGACGCGAGCCACGTTGTGGGGCAGGTTGAGCACCGTGTTGATGAGGCCCGGGTTCTGGTGCGAGTAGCCGTTGTGCTCCTGTCGCCACAGAGTCGAGGTCTCGATGTAGGTGATCGACGGCACGGGCGCGCGAAAGTCGGTCTCCTTGCTGACCTTGAGGAACTTGGCGTACTGCTCGATCATGGTGGCGACGATTCCGAGGAAGCTCTCGTAGCTTGGGAAGAGCGGGATGCGACCGGTCAGCGCATAGCCTTGGGAGAAGCCCTGGAGCGTGTGCTCGCTCAGCATCTCGACGACCCTGCCACTCCTCTTTCCGCTCCTCCTGTCTTCGGCGGTGAGCAGGGCGTCTGCGTCGGCCTGGAAGTTACGCTCCTTGAACTCGTCGGTCTTAAGCGTGGCGTCGAGATGGTTCGAGGCGAGCTCGTCCGGGCTGAAGATGCGCAGGTTGCTCTTGTTCTGTGGCATCAGGGCCGCGAGGTAGTCGCCGCAAGCGACCATCGCCGAGGCCTGCGACATCTTGCCGCTCGACTCGTCCTTGCCCGCCTTGGCCATGAAGGCGGCGGTGCCGACGTCGTCGAGGCCCGCCGATCGGGTGTAGATCTCGTCGAGCTGGCCCATCTTTAGACGGTCGTCCCTGGGCAGAATTCGCGTGACGAGCGGGTCGATGGACAGGCCGCCCTGGCCGTTGGTGGTGAACCACTTGCTCGGCGAGTACGACAGGAGCCAGTCCTGGAGGAGCTGCAGGTGCTCGTCGTTTCCCTCGGGCTGGACCTTGATGGGGATCTGATGGCTGCGGAAGCTGCCCTCGACCTTGGAGCCGTCGACGGTCTGCGGGCAGCCCCAGCCTTTGGGAGTCGAGAGGATAATCATCGGCCAGCGAGGCTTGCGGATGGGCTCGCCGTTCCTGGCGGCAGCCTGGATCTTGCGAATCTCGGCATAGGCCCAGTCGATACTGACCGCCATGTCGATGTCGACGGAGCGGGCGCGTTCATCGCCGGGCTGGGTGTGCTCGTTGCCGAGGTGGCGGTAGTAGTCGACAACGCGGACCTGGTAGCCGTAGCCGGAGAAGAGGGTGACCAGCTCGGCCTCGTCCATGCTGCCAAAGATGGTCTTCTCCGAGATCTTGAAGCGGTTGAGGTGGAGGATGGGCAAGACCGCGCCAGACTCTGCCGGATCGATGAACTTGTGGGCGTGCCACGCGGCGGCGGTGGGTCCAGTCTCTGCCTCTCCATCACCGATGACGGCGACCGTGATGAGGTCGGGCAGGTCCTGCACACTGCCGTATGCGACGGCGAGGGCGTAGCCGAGCTCTCCGCCTTCGTGGATGGCGCCCGGGGTGGTGGCGGTTACGTGGCTGGGGCGAACGGTGTTGGGCCAGCTGAAGTTTTTGACAAAGCGCTCCAGGCCCTGGTGGGTGAGGCTCTCGTCTGGGTAGAAGCGCGAGATGGATCCTTCGAGGTAGAGGGTGGAAAGGATGGCGGGAGCTCCGTGACCGGGGCCTGTCACGAAGAGGAAGCGCCTGCGATCGGCGTCGCCGTCGTTGTCGTGCGTGGCGGCGGTGCCGGCGGCGGGTTGGGGGGCCTGGCTGCGCGAGATGAGGGCGGTGATGTGGGTGTAGGCGAAGATGAGCCCCGGGCAGGTGCCCCAGTGGCCGAGGAGGCGCTTTTTGACGTCGCGCTGGTAGTCGAGGGGCTGCTGGGCGAGGGCGTTGTTGAGGAGGTAGATTTGGGCGAGAGCGAGGTAGTTTGCGGCCTTTTGAAAGGCGGCGATTGAGTCGAGGTCGTAGGCGGTGGCGTGGGCGTCTGCCGGCGAGGGCAGCGCGAGATCAACCTTGAGCTGAGAGAGGCTCTTGTCAAAATCGAGGCCCGAGGCCATCAAGCCGTAGTCGGGTGGGGCCGTCATGGGGGCGAGCGAGTGCGTGGGCGGATGGTCGAGGGTCGAGCCAAGGGCAGGTCGTGTGATGACAAAAGGGATCAACGAGAGCGGGTACGGTGGTACAGCTGGCCAGCAAGAGGATGCAGCCGATTGAAGGGGGAAGCAAGGTGAGGGAGAGAAGGAAGAGGGCGAGGGAGTGAAGCGACCCGGGTCAGAGAGAGGGGGGTTTATATGGGACCGCCTAGATGTAGGTAGGTCTGTGCAGCCCGCGCGTCAGGCCAGCTAGAGGACTAGCTAGAGTATTACAGTTCGTAGCTAGCTAGTACGAGTGTACCGTGCGTAGTAGTGATGGCGATGCGAGAAGTGACTCAGCACCCGCGGCAGCATTATTATGCATGGTCCAGTGCGCACGCGTACCTTGGATTGCCGTGGCCTGGCAGGCGGCCGGATGGTGGCGAACGATGACACCACGTCCAGCTTGCAAGCAAAGACAGGCAGCCGCCGGCCAAGCCAGCGCATGATCGGTATGCTATGGTCTGGCGGCTGTAAGTGCGTAAGTGCGTTGTCTAGTGTGCGTACGTGCTTTTGCTGTTCGCTCGTTGATGGGCAGCAGCATCACTCAGCAGTAGAGCCACCAGCCTGGCTGGTAAGCCGCCGCTGCTGCTTGGTTGTGAGCAGCGGACAGCCTGTGGTACACGCACGTACGTACGCGTCCGTTCCTGGCCAGCGACCCCGGCCTGCCCGCCTGCCCGCTTGCCCGCTTCTTGGACCCTGAAGCTTAAGGCTGCCTTGCAGGATGGACCCTTGCGGCCTGCCGGCCAGGCCTGGGCCTGCCTGGCGCGTTGCCCGGCGGGCGCTGGCGCCCTAGCTGCACGTACTTGTGCCCAGCCTGGCCTGCTGCAGCGTGAGCGCACCGTCCGTGCAGACAGAACTCTAGTACTAGGTGCGGGGGCCCTAGCCTGGACCGTGCACCGCCAGGCCACAAGCAAGCAGCAAGCAAGCAAGCAAGCTATGTCAGATGCAGCTCGACGACAGAGCACCACGCACTTGGCCTACTTGGCCTGGCCTGGTCTGGCTTAACTTGCTACGCTGCCTCGTCAGTCACCGGCTCGTCAGGGCTCGCGCTCGTTGGCCAGGTCGACCGCGCCTGGCTCGCTCACTCTTCTCTCTTGGCCCTGGCTTCTGCTGTTGGCCATTCTGATTCTCTCCCCCTCCTTCTCCGGGCCGCTTGCCTCTTCTATCGCTCCTTGGCTCCTCGCTCGCATCGACCTTTTCCGTCCCTGTCTGTCTAGCCTGCTGTTTCGCCTCGACTGCGCCACCGCACGGGCTCACCATGTCCGTGCAACCAGACTACCACGGCTGCGCCGACTGGCGCGCCATCGCCGACCTCCATCAGACCACCCTCGCCATCCCCGAACACCTCATCTCGTCCGACCCGGCGCTTCAGCAATGGCGGCTACGCGCCAACCAGGACCTCGAACCGCCCTCTGCGCGCAGCCAGCGTGGACCCTCTCTTCGCTCTCTCCTCTCTCACCCGCACACCGCTGCCATCCTCGAGGCGCCCACGCTACACCTCTCGCCGCCCGACTTGCTAGACGGCAAGGACGCGACATCGCTAGTCGGCCTCATGAAGAGCGGTGCCGTCAAGGTCGAGGACGTCACCCGCTCCTTTCTCGCGCGCGCAGCCGTCGTACACCAGGCCACCGGATGCCTCTCTCACTTCTTCCACGACCTCGCTCTGCATCGAGCTCGCCTACTCGACGCAAAGAGGGCCGAGCTGGACCGTCTCGGGCGACTCGACCAGCTAGGCGCCTGCTTTGGCCTGCCCATCAGCATCAAGGTCAGTCTGTCACAGATGCCACCAGCAGGCCAACCCAAGAAATCGATCCCTCGTCGCTCACCTTCTGCTTCCGACCTTCCTCGACCCACAACGCCGCTGACCGTCTTGCACAGGGCCACCTCCATTACGCCGGCAAAGGCAGTCAGCGTGGCTTCGTCTTCGACGTGCTCCCGGACCCCACCGCCCATCCCCTGGTAAGGTCCAACTTGACCCAGGAGCAGGTCGCCTATCTCGCCGCCACCCAGGGCGGCTTCATCAACGATCCGCCCGCCGACTCCCACCTCGTATCGCTCCTCCTCGACGCCGACGTCGTGATCCTGGCAAAGACGGCCATGCCGCAGGGAGTCATGCACCTCGACACCCGATCCAACCTCTACGGCCAGACCCTCAACCCTTGGAACCTCGCCCTCAGTCCCGGAGGTTCCAGCGGCGGCGAGAGCGCTCTAGTCGCCGGCGGTGGCACCGCTCTTGGCGTCGGCTCTGATATCGGTGAGCACACCCCTCGTGCACTTTTGAGCGGGTTAGTCGTGTTGCGAGCCCTTGACTTTGCTCGATCCCTGACCGATCGCGTCACTGCTTTGTGCCCTGCCTTCCCCTCCCCCCTCGACTCTCGTACTTTCATTTGACATTCAACAGGTGGCTCCGTACGCCAGCCCTCGGGCGTCTGCAACCTCTACGGCTTGCGTCCGACCACGCTGAGGCTGCCCTACAACGGTGTGCGCTCCACCATGCCAGGAAACGAAGGAGTCACGTCCTCGCTTGGCCCCATGGCGCTCTCGCTCAGGGATGTAGAACTCTTCATGTCGCGTCCTCAACGAGAGGACTCGGCCCTGGGCGCAGGAGCACAATCTCTTCCCCATACCGTGGAGAAGGGTCGACGGGCTTCTCGAGCCTTCCGCAGATGCGCCTCCTCGCACCATCGTCGTCGGCGTGATGCTCGAGGACGGCGTGGTTAGGCCGACTGCGCCCGTACGTCGGGCAATGACGACCTGGCTCAGCCGGCTCCAGAGCGCATCTGCGCAAGCTCGCATGCCGACCCGATTCGAGCTGAAGCTCTACAAGCCGGGCACACTACATCGGAGGTCGTGGGATCTGATCCGTTCTCTCTACTTCATGGACTCGGGCAAGCTGTTCCACTTGCTTGCAAAGGCCACGGGGGAGCCGCTGTTGCCCTTGACTCAGTTCATCCTCCAGCCAGACTTTGTCCGCGCGGCCCAGAATGACCTGGCCGCCGATGCCGCCGGAGATTCGACGCGCAAGAGGGACGAGATGTCGGCGACCGAGGTCTGGGCCATGGTGCGAGAGCGCGAGGCGCTGCGCAAGGAATCGCTGCGCCTCTGGAACCAGCTCGGGCTCGACTGCCTGCTGTGTCCCGTGATGGGCAGCGTAGCCCCCCGGCCTGGCAAGATCAAGTACTGGGGCTACACTAGCGCCTTCAACCTGGTCGACTATCCCGGCATCGCGTTTCCGAGCGGACTGGTGGCCGATAGCGCAAAAGATCGCGAGTACGAGGCTTCAGAGAGCGCCGCAGCCCAGCCTGGACAAGGCGCTGAAGCGTGGCGCTACGATGCGTGGCGCAGCGATCTTGGCGAGTTCGACCGGGAGAACCGCGAGGAGTACGAGGCGCATCGAGGCGTGTTTGACGGAGCGCCCATCGGTTTGCAGCTCATCGGACGGCGGTACCAAGACGAGGAGCTGTGCAAGTACCTCGAGCTCCTGGAGCACGCCTACCGCCGCGGCTAGCCGGGGCAGTCGCCCGCCAGATCAGGAGGCGCTCCAGGCGGGTACGTACGTACAGTATATCTGGTGGCAGATGATAAGCACATTGTATCAACCCTACCGGACTGAGACCTCTGCGCGCAGCCCTTATAGCAGCGCGTGCCTGTCCCTCTGATGTCGGTGGCCCCGTTTTCATCGTTCGAGGGCACCCGCGGCTGGCCGACGCGCCTCGCCCTGTCTCGGGGGGCGACCCCGATGTCGCACGATTGCCAGGCCGACGACGGCGAGAAGCATCGGCGGTGTCGAGTGCGCGGGAGAGTGAAGACATTCACTCGGAAGTGCACCGCCCAACTCAGATACAGAAGAGAGGCTGAATCCACCATGTCGACCATCCAGGCCGTGTGACGCCTGGTCGTGTCGGGGGTTCTATCTTTTCGCGGCCTGCGGTTGGGCGGCTGACATGGCCGGCGGTCCAACGAGGTTCGTACCAGCCGGCCGTGCAAACAAATAGAGCGAGCGGCACCTGACAAGTAACATGCCCATCCTACGCTTTGGCGGCGGCAACGGTTCCGACAACTGCGGCAACCATGATGATGTCGAGCAGCGTATGGATGGTGAACCTGGCCTAGCACCTCGATGAATGTATATACATATCAGATAGGGGCCGGTGCGTGGGGGCGGGATCGTCTCGGCACATGCAGCACAAACGGCGAGGCGGAGAAGCAAACATGCATGCTAATCCCTTGGCACCAGGAACCCAGCTGGGCAAACTCTTCGAGGGGCGAGCAGCGAGAGAGGGGGGCCGGGAGCAGTCCGGGTGGCCAAAACAGGAAATTAAGGAGGTCGCAAGCGCAGCCTGCGTGACGGGGACGGTGGACCCACAACGCGCCATCGAAGATGCCCGCCTCACACCTCCGCACTTGTACGCACTCATACGGCACATCCACAAAGGGCCCGAGAGGCACGCCCTCTGTTGGCGTTGTGCCGTGTGATGTGGCGTCGGTTAGAAGGGATATGAGGGTGAGGCCGGCCCGGCAGAGGCCCGGTCGAGGAGGGTAAGCAAGCTGTTCTATCGAGTCGCTTGGCGTTTGGGCTCGGGCTGGGTGTGAAAGCCGCCCACCGGCCAGGCTCGGCTCGGCGAAGGTGGAATTGGGGCGGTGTCTAGTGCGACACTGGGAGGGATCAGCGGCTCGACCAACCCTCTGCCCACTCGTCCTTTGTGCTGAGCCCTGGCCGGGTCAGTGCGGCGCCATCCACGACGCGGGCAGCGCAGGCGTGTAGCAGAGAGATTGAAGAAGACTACTCTGGCTTGATGGAGTTATCCGACGGTCTGCTCAGCTGCAACAGGCCCAGGCCGGTATGGGTAGCGGGCTGGGCTGGAGCGTGATGCATGTGGATGGTGGACGGGCCTGGCTGGCGACGGGGAGACCGACGCGGGAAAGCAGGCTAGCGCGCTGTACACTCTTCTGTTACGCCTGGGCCTGCAAGGCGGTCAAGGGGTAGCCCGGCCCAGCCTAGGCTCGGGGGCCCACGCGTGGGTGCATCTGCCACAGACAGGCCGGCCTCTCGTGCTGGTCTCGTGTGTGACCCGGCATGCGTCCGCTGTGCACTTTTTGGCTCAGCAATTCAAGCTCCAGCGCTTCAGGCCCGGCCGCCCACCCAGCAGAGAGGCGGTGCGGCGTGGGTGCGAGTCGACCTCTATCCCTCTCCCTCCCTCTCTCTCTCTTCTCTCCCTCTC